TATATATATATATATATATCATTAGCTGCTGTCAGTTGAATGCATGTTTCTTTGTTGAAATTTTGTATGTGTTGGTTTGAGCATGCTTTGTTTGAAAAAACAAACAAAAAAAAATCAAAACGGCACGTGAGAAAACCCCTTTGCCTCTCTCTTTCACCAGGATGAATTTCATCCCTTCATCGAGGCCCTCCTCCCCCATGTCCGTGCCTTCTCGTACACCTGGTTCAACCTGCAGGCCCGCAAGCGCAAGTACTTCAAGAAGCACGAGAAGAGGATGACCAAGGACGAGGAGCGCGCGGTGAAGGACGAGCTGCTGGGAGAGAAGCCCGAGATCAAACAGAAGTGGGCCTCGCGCCTGCTGGCCAAGCTCCGCAAGGACATCCGGCCCGAGTTCCGCGAGGACTTTGTGCTCACCATCACCGGGAAGAAGCCGCCCTGCTGCGTGCTGTCCAATCCCGACCAGAAAGGAAAGATCCGCCGCATCGACTGCCTCCGTCAGGCCGACAAGGTGTGGAGGCTGGACCTGGTGATGGTCATCCTGTTCAAGGGCAGCCCGCTGGAGAGCACCGACGGGGAGCGGCTGGTCAAGTCGCCCCAGTGCTCCAACCACGGCTTGTGCGTCCAGCCGCACCACATCGGAGTGACGGTCAAAGAGCTGGACCTCTACCTGGCCTACTTCGTCCACACGCCAGGTACGTGCCGCCGACCGAGCCGTCTCGCGCGCGCGCGCTCTCGCTCCGCCCGTAGAAACAAAGTCGCCGACTCGCCGGCCGGCTCGTTCCCCACCGGATCGTCCTACGAGACGCTCCGCGCCGCGCCGCCTTAGACACGCACCTGAGATGGACGCGCGTTTCTGCTTTGAAGAGATGCTGGGAAATGAACAGCGAGGATTAAAAGCGCCGTTTACCTAGGGATGTGTTTGCGTCACGACATTTGTTGGAGTGTTTGCGCGCAAATTTGTCTAAATCCAAACGTGCGCGTTCCGCAGCACCATCTGTAAACACGAGCATCTGCAGACCTGTTTATCGGCGTGCGCATGCGTGCGCCTGTGCGGATGGCTGAGTTGCTGTGCCTGCGCGCGGCACTATGACATGGCTCTATAATCCATGGGACTGGTTTGATGAGATTGGTGTGTATCAGTAGCAGTGTGGTGTGCGTGGCTTCTTTTTTTAATTAATTTATTATTTTTTTGTGTGTGTGTGTGTGTGTGTGTGTGTGTGTGTGTGTGTGTGGGGGGGGGGCGGGCTGGAGAACGGCGTGACAGCTGGCTCGATCCCAGGTAGTTTCAGAGACGGGGAGAGTCCGCCTGTCTGCATCCTTGGACTGAATGAAGCCAGCTCAGCTTTCTTTTCCTCTATCAGCCAACACACACACACACACACACACACACACACACACACACACACACACACACACACACACACACACACACACACATACACACACACACACACACACACATGCACACACGCAGCGCACTTCTCCTTCGGATGCCCAAACCAGACTCCAACATTGATCGTTGCATTTCGATCGTGCAAGCAAGTTGAGACTTGATTTTGTTGGTGAGGCTTCGCGTTGGTGTTTGAGTGAGCAAGTTGCAGTTAATTCAGGGAGGAATATGCAGGAATTTCCCATGTGAGAAAATAAATCGACGTGATGCAATTTCTGCTATTTAGTCATTGATGTTGTTGCTGAACTCATGCTACAAATAAATACCTGATCCAAAATAATGAATGAATTACCGATATAAAAATTGGTGAAAATGTAAGGATTGCTCGTACACCCCCCCCCCCAAAAAAAAAAAAACCACATCTAAAAAAGGCGAAAATCTTGCTCAATAAATGAAAAAGCAATATCTGGCTCATGAAAATGCCAAGCCGGGTGGCGATTGCATTTGTCTCAAGAGATGATCATTTTTGCCGAACATGCAGCTCAAACCAAAATCAAAACTACCAGTCGCGATATTTTGAAAGCAATCGAATAAGATTGTGTTCATAGGTTCCCTTGAAGGATGTTTGTTAAAATGCATTGCAGCAAGTCTGCATTGATGCACACGTTTGGTCTCATATTTAAAACGTGTGCAACATTTGTGCAAATTGTATCCGCTCTCTCTCTCTCTCTCACACACACACACACACACACACACACACACACACACACACACACACACACACACACACACACACACATGCGCACACACACGCTCAGGCCCACTTTGCCCTTTTCTTCTTCTCCCAGTTTGATTTAGCGCAGACCGGCCTCCACTTACTGGGCCTTCCTTCTTGGACTTGGCAGGGAGGTGCAGCAGCCTTCCTCTGTGACCGAGAGCCCCATGCCAGGCTCTTTTCAGCCCAATGTGTAACACTGCTTGAGTTTGCCGGGCCCCCGCGAGCGCCTCTTCCTGCTCCACAATGCGCCGCGGCGAACCGCGGCTCAGATTAGCTCCCGGCGCAGCCTGGTGCCCCTCCGAGTAAAAGCCTTTCTTTACCCGCTGCCAGAATCCAGCAGCCAGTCAGAAGGCGCTTGCTTTGCGTGTGCCGCAATAGAGTTAAGTTTCCTCCCCCCCCCCCCCCCCCCCCCCCGTGCTCGTGCCAGCGTGAAATGTACTTCGTACGTTATCTGGTTGGATAAAGAGCTTCGTGGGAGTCGTTGATGCTAATTTCGAAGACCGATTTTACCCTGCCCTTGTCTGAGCAAGCCGCAACGTGTCGGCATCCTCTCCCGACCCGCTTTTCCACAAGCGCCGGCCGCGTGGCACCTTGCGCCGACAACGAGAGCGGAAAGGGACTCGAATAATCAACTGCCACTTTTTGTCTTTTTCTTGACGGGAGACCAATGAAACCTGCGCCCATTTTAACCTTTGGTGCGGCAGTTGAACGCTTTTATTCTTAGCCCCCCCCCCTTGCAGGGTGTCCGTGTCTTTACGGAAGCATCCGTCTCACCCCCCCCAGCACATGCTGAAAGTGTTTGGGCACTCTTGTCCTACTGATGTCACTGTCGCCAGCTGCAGGGGAGGCTCTGCTTTCAAGTGGGATGATTGACAGGACAGCAGAGCCTCCCCTCATCTGTGGCCGCTTCTCTGCTGGACACCGTGTGTCTGCTTCTTTTTTTTTTTTTTTTTTTTTTTGTTGTTGTTGTTGCAAATGTCAAGACTCCTGTGCTCTCCAAAGCTAGGATATTACACCCCGCGTGACAGGACACATTAAAGTAGCTTCAGCAACTGAAAACAGCATTTGGATTGGCACTTGTGCGCCGCAGCTGCAACCTTAGACGAGCAAAGAGGCTCCTCCGCTCTTATGATGAATACATATATTGTCAGCCACTAATGATTTCTTTTCTTCTGATTTATTTTGCATCTGAAGGCGATAAAAAAAAAAAAAAAAAAAAAGAAAGAATAGTTCTGCCATGTGTGAAGCGTAGGACGTGAGGAGGGGCGGTGCTCGGGGGAGGGAGGCTGAGCTTTTTTCTTTGAACGCGTTGATGGAAACCAACGTTTGGCTCAACATTCGGACTCCGCTTTGGCCCCGCTTCCATCCAGAGGCTCAGATCAGGTCATGTTCTCCGCGCAAAGTGTTCCGTATTTGTCATTCTTACTCATCCGCAGAGTTCCAGCATTAGTCATGTTTCGAGTCCGAGCGGTCTCACATGACTTTCATTACTTGTGCCGTTATGATAAAAAGATGTTGCAGGGAGCAAAGCGCCGCTTCCACCGAGGAGGTGGCGTCTTTACATCCCACAAACCCACACAGAGAGTGTACGCTTGCGTGCGTGCGTGTGTTGACCACCTCCCCAGGTGTCGGTTTCATATCGCCATGGATGTTGTCAGGACATTTTTCACAGCACGGCAAATGGCCCAGAGATGATCCTTGACTGCATAAAGATTGAGACACAAAACACTTTCACCTCAGCGTGAACGATTAAACGTTAATCTTTGCACGTATGCTGAGCCCAAAAAGTAGATGAGGTGGAAGAGGAGAAAATACAGGTCATGAGGCTGGTCAACGACATTGGTTGGTTGCTAAATATTTGGAGGAAATGATCAGAAGGGGGAGGGGGGAGGGAATAAAATCATTCTCGGCGGGATGATTTGTATAGAGCATTTTTTTTTTTTTTTTTTGGGGGGGGTGGAGAGCAGAGTTGTGCTCCAATATTCAGGCACGGTTGTGTGTTCAGGGCGCACACGGAGACGTGAAGAGTGTTGGCGCCTTTGGGGCCAATATTCAGCCCCGATGTGGGCGGGGACATGGCTTGTCAGGCACCTTCAATGGGGTTTTTTTGGGGGGGGGGGGGGGGGGGGGGGGGGGGGGATATGGCAGAAAAGAGCGGCATGTGCGCTGGATGAGGAGGCCATGCTCAACGCATTCTTGCGTCGAGCCTCCGAATAAATCTTTGGAAAAAGGGGGACTCGTTCCACGTGTGCCCGCTTGCGCGGTCCGATCTTCTGAGCAGCTTTTTTTTTTTTTTTTTTTTTTTTGCACCCTTCTCACAACATTCCATTCCAATAGAGCGCCGGTCTGACTGTCGAACAGCTCGACGCATCGCTGGCAGCCCGAGCCGCTTCACGTGTCATGATCCAGTTTAGTGAATAAAAGAAGACCGGTCGGTACCGCACACGTAAGGTTGTGCGCAATCTGATTCCATTACATTGAGAAACAAAGGTCAAGTTTTTGTTTCACAAATAGAAAAACCCGCCCTAGCAGAAAGTGATTATTGGATTCCCTTTATTTCCTCATTTCACTGTACAGTAGTTTCTAATTGTTTGTATAATTAAAGTTAATGAATAAATTCGATGCTTATGCACATTTTATGCAATTAGGAGCACCAATCTGCAGTACCCCCCCCCTTTTTTTTTTTTTTTCCCTCAACTCAGTCAGCAAATGGTCGCTAAATCTATTTACCGCATTAATAAGCAGGGTGAACACAAATTGTCTTCATTCGTTTCGCCGCGTTTCTTCGAGCGGTCTGGATTTTGAAGCAACAGAACAGCGGCAAAATGTTTGCTTTGTTTTCCCCCGCGTGGGAATTTGCATGATTCGTCTTCTCCTTTTCTGTCCAAGCGCCAGACCTGGAATCCGTCTGTCCACTTAAAACATACGTCGACCCCGTGCCGGAGGGGCAGCTGGGCTTGTCCGCTTCTCGGGCCGAGAGGGGAAAGGAGGCGGGGACGGCCACCGAGTAGAAAGCGGGGCCGAGCGCCGTTTCCCAGCAGCTCCGTTCTAACGGGGCTCCCTCTCTCCTTGTTCTCCCGGTCCGCTGGAGCAGAGCGCGACGAGACAGCCCGAGATTTTGGAACGGCTCCTCTGCCTCCAGAAAACGGCGCTGTCACATTAACTGGTGCGGGTCCCAATGCTCTTATTTTCTTTTTATTTATTTATTTATTTATTTATTATTATTATTTTATTTTTTTTTCAAAATTTCAATCCAGGAAAAAAAAAAGATGACATAATATACAGATCAAATATAATCATCCAAATAAAGAGCAATCCGAAATACTTCTTCTTCATTTCTCCATCTTAACGGCCATAAATGTCCATCATTGGATTTAGGACGACGCCGAGCCCAAATCGGAAGGTCAAAAGAAAAGCTCGGCATAAAAAAAGCTGATGCGGAATGCCACGCTGAAAACAAAGGGAGAGGGAGGGCAGACACTCAGGCTAGTGGCGCTGCTTGGCAGCGTTTGGCACCCAAACGC